CCTCTCCTTTCCCTCCCACCCACCCACCCCCCAAAAATGTTGTGTTTTACGCTCTGCAAATTACTTGCAAACAAAGGTCCCCGGACACTAGCCTAGGGGATCTTTCCTCCATGCCTGCAGTGGGGCAGGGGTCTTCAGAGAGATTGGGTGATGCAAAGAAAACATTAGGCTCCAATTAGAAACCCATAAGTCCTGGCAGGGAGAGGGGCATAATCCCCATAATTTAAAGCAGGGGTGTCCAAGCTTGGCAACTTTAAGACTTGTGGACTTCAGCTCCCAGACTTCCCCAGTCAGCAGGCTTGGAGTTCAACTCCCAGAATTCCCCAGTCAGCAGGCTTGGAGTTCAACTCCCAGAATTCCCCAGTCAGCAGGCTTGGAGTTCAACTTCCTGAACTCCCCAATCAGCAGGCTTGGAGTTCAACTCCCAGAACTCCCCAGTCAGCAGGCTTGGACTTCAGCTCCCAGAATTCCCCAGTCAGCAGGCTTGGAGTTCAACTCCCAGAATTCCCCAGCCACCATGAATGGACTTCAACTCCCAGAATTCCCCAGTCAGCAGGCTTGGAGTTCAACTCCCAGAACTCCCCAATCAGCAGGCTTGGAGTTCAACTCCCAGAACTCCCCAGTCAGCAGGCTTGGAGTTCAATTCCCAGAATTCCCCAGTCAGCAGGCTTGGACTTCAACTCCCAGAATTCCATGCAGCTGAAGTTCCCATATCTTAAAAGCAGCCCTGGGTTGAGAAATGCCACTCATAAACCCTGGTCTTGGGGTCAGGCATCTTCCGCCAACGCCACCTTCCCACCTTCCCCTCTGTTTCTCCCCCAGCCAAGCCCACAAGCGGTGCTGAGGCCCTGGAGGTCAAGGCCAGCAACGTGGAGCAGCCTGTGGCCGTGTGCACCTCCTCCAACGGGAAGCCGCCGGCTCGCGTCACCTGGCAGTCGAGGCTGAACGGCAACTCCAGCGTCAAGCAGACCAACAACTCCGACGGCACCGTCACCGTCACCCAGCACTACACCATGATCCCCACCAAGGAGGCCAACGAGCAGCAGATCACCTGCCTTGTCGAGCACGTGGCCCTGACACAACCCGAGTCCTTCCCTGTCCGGCTTTCCATATTGTGTGAGTTGCGGCTTTGGGGGGACTGAGGGAGGCTGTCCCCCCCGGGAGTTTATTTCTGGGTTAGAACGTTAGGAGTGCAAGCCAACATGCATCGCGTTCCTGACTAGCATTTCTGTCCCTCAGTTCAGAGGTGGGATTCAGTCGGTTCTGACCAGTTCTGGAGAACCAGTAGCGGAAATTTTGAGTAGTT